TTTTTTTTTTTTGAGAGGGGGGCTTTGCCTTTTTGCTCTGCTTCCCGAGAAAGTGGCTCAAAGTTACTTCCAACTCCGGCAGTCCAGCTGCCCCTCAAAATCCCGTTTTGTGCGGCACCCCCCCTCCTTTCGCCCCGGCGGCGGGCACGGAGAAGCTCCGCGGCGGCGCAAGAGGGAGGCTCGCCTTGCGCGGACTCCGCGGTGCGCGGAGTCTTCCGAGCTCGCTCGCCGGCAGCGTTGACTTCGCCGCGCCTCTGCAGAGGGCGGCGTGTTGGGAGGGAGGTCGCTCTCGCACCGAGAGCAGGTGGGCTCCTCTTCTCAGGCAGCGCCTGTCGTCGCTTGAGTTTCCCTCACAGCCTCAGCTTCTTCTTAACCCGCGCCTTTTTTTTTACCCCCTTTCCCTCCTCAACTCCCACCCGCGAGCGTCGCAGGTGCTGCCGTTCTCCGGGGACGACGAGGTGCCGAGGCTTCCCTTTCCCCTCCTCTAGCATTGCGTCCCCTGTGAGGAAACCAGCTCTTGCGCGGCTGCTGCGCGCAGGGGACAACAGGAGGTCACAAACTTCTCCCGCTCCTTTGGGCTCCCTGGTCTTGGCGCCTTGCAACCGCCCGCCCGGCTCCCCTCTGAGAGTCTGAAATGTAACAATAATAGCCATAATAATAGAACAGTCACCCATAGGCGGGAAAAACGCACAAGCAGGCGGGAATGTTCGCTCCCCCTCGCCTGCTTCCAGGCGGAGAGGTAACGGTAACCACCACCAGCTCATGGGCGCCCCGATCCGTGCCGTCCCTGCTCGGAAGCAAGTCCCGTGTGATTTCGGCAGTTGTCCAGGAAGGATTATGTTAGTTAATCTGCTTTCCACCGTTACCCGAAACATAATAGCACGATCCCGAGGGATCTTGTGGGAATCACTCCCAAATGCCTTTAGGATTGCAGTCTTTCCTGGGGTTGCTTCCTCGGAAACGTCTTTCGAATCGCTGTCTTTTTACACTTAGAACTTGTGTCTGTCTACTTGAGAGTTAGCCCCGTGGTTTCCACTTGAATTTACTCTGAAATAAATCTCTTGGGCTGATCTTTTTTTTTTTTTTTTTTTTACAAAGGGTTTTGGGATACTTTTTAATTTTTCTGCAAAGCGACCCCACTTATCTCCTCAGAAGTCTCATTAAGTTCGATGAGACTTCCAGGTAAATGTGTGTAGGATAGCAGCCTTGTTGAGCGATGCATTTTCTTGAAAGCATCCAAACGTGCTTTGAGAGAGAAATCTGTGCGAACTTTCAGTTATATATAGGCAAGAAAAATTAAGCCAAAATCAGATTGCCTTTATATAAAGAAGATTTGGAGGCAAGGGTTTTTCATCTTACAAACCTGTCACTGTGCCCCAGTGTATTGCAGAATATATACAGAATATTGCTACATTTTTGCTGTCCAGTGCATAGTCAAATATAACATAAAACTGGAGAAACTCCAGTAGTGTTTAAGAATAACTGTATTTGGAATGATCCAGAAGGATATTCAGGAGTTTGGGTAAACCATATGTATATGCTTTGGGCTGCTGTCCTAGACATACTTACTTAACAGTAATCTCATTTGGTCCAGGTGAGAATTACTTCTGAGTAGACTTGTACAGGATTCTGCTGTTCAGCCAGTGCTGGGTAAATGGGGAGCAAACTATGGCTGTATTTTATACAACAACAATTATCTGTTGATCTAAAATGATGGCTTACTACCAAGCAACAAATAAAAAGCAGTAGGTGCAAATGAGGCATCTCTGGTATACTCTTTAACCTGCCACACACTCTGCAAATCTTATCAAACACTATCAGAGGGTTTAGTAAAACTGGAAGTTGTTCAGCAGTATAATTTTTGCAGCCATTGGCTAGTTTTTAATTTCCAAGAAGCTTCTTAGATGTGCTTTTAAAAAATCCTATCAATGTGGGTGTTCTTCTAAGTGCTTCATTGTCCGTGCACAGCTAAATAAAACTGCATAGCAATACAAAATACAAGTATTTAGTTTTTCTGAAAACCAAAATGTTAAAATTAGGGCCCTCGTGTTGCACCCCAGAAGTAAACCACATTAAATTTGGGGGCTTAGTCTCAGGTAGGTGGGCATTGGATTGCAATCTTATGCAGCACTCGGCTCTTCACCAAATCATGCAAGCATCCCAGTCCTAAATATAATCTGTCTATATATTCTTGAAGAGAATTCCTACTTCAACCAAGTAAATCTTGAACCAAATGTCACTGAAATCAATAGTACATAGATGTTTGTCTGTTTGATCAACAAACCAGTTCCTGGCCCAAAACCCATTTCTTGGCTCATCTACTGCCAAATGAGCAATGTCAGTCTAGGGCTGCCACCTTTTTTAATACCAGGACTCTTGTTCTATGAAAAGTTGAACAGCAGGAACACATTTATAAGTAAGGCTTCTTTGCTGTCTGTTCTGGGAAGTTTCATGTGTTGCATGTCTACCCATCATATTTCTTTAAAGAAATACTGGAGACATGAAATGATTGTTGTCCACAGGTGTCTTTAGAATACAGCCAAATGATTCAGTCCTAATGTCATTCATTACTCACAAGTAATCATGTTTAAGATCAGGTTATAAATCCTGTTTTGCCCATATATTTCTCTATGGCTTCAGATGTATGAACCTTTTCAAAAAAGTGAAGTTTAGGAGTATGGAATATGAGATAACTGTTTTATGTGTAGGATTTTCTTGCATGTTTTGCTTTAATCATATGCATTATTACAGAAGGGATTCCTTTCTTTTGTTGTCATGGTTGGAGATGTATATCAAAACACGATTTGTGCTGTATCCTTTATAGCGATTAAATTCAGAAAGGTTATGGCTGGCGTGACTCAAATGGTATATCTTCATTCAGAATGGATACAAAGCAAATCCCATTAACTTGGATAGCTTTCTAAAGTGAATAAACCTCAAAGCAAGCAAGAAATGAGAATGCATTGAATATTGTGATAGCTAGTTTACAAGGAATTAATTAGATTCTCATTGAAAATGTAATTGTATAGGGAATTGAATGTGCATTGTGAATTTTTTTTCATTTTTGCCCCTCTTTATGCCCTTTGCAAACAAGATAGCAAATTGTTTACTCTCTGTTTAAACTAATTTGAACACATACAAATAGTTTTAGATATGCTATTTTGGGCCCTTGTTTCTGCTGTAATTGAACTACTGAGCCTGTTAGGTCAATTTCCCAGCTGGCTGTAAGAAATTAAACAGGCTTTGCATGTGACAAGCGAAAAAAGGGAAGATCATGATGTGTTTGATGGTAAACAACCCCCCCATAAAGAAACACCCCCAAACAAACAAATAAACCTTGCCTTTGGTCTTCAAACATGCCTTCTTGAAAAATCGTTGATAAAATAGAAGGTACAACAGGTAAGTAAATACCTGCTGCCACTGAAGATGGAAACCTGGAAGTTGTTCTCAGAGCCTCTCAGGTTAGTGCATAATATTACTTCTTTAGGTATTTGATTCAAAGATGACAGTGGTTCCCCCAATGTGTCTTTCACACCTTGGTAACTGTGTCCAAATTTTCTAAACTTTTTTCAGAAACTGTAAATTAGATTTTAGCTACTAAACATAGAGATAACTGGTAAACTTGGAATTTACAAATGATTTGGTAACTTCTTGTAAAAACAACTGTGGTTGAATATACTCAGTGTAGGATACTACAGGGTACCAGTTTATTTGTAAATTGAGGATTCTGGTTTAGGCTTTGTTTGCATGTTTTTATATCAGTTGTTGCTTTGCAGTAATTTAATGTTATATGATAACGTTCAATGTCGGTTTGAGGTAGAATCAGTCATGTCCAAAAGAGACAACATCCTGTAAATTACCACCACCAAATCAAACTCACTTAAAATCAACTAGTTCATCATCTTGTCATGTCAGATCAAAGAGAAGTGAGGTACAAATTAAGAATGTAGGCATTTTATTTTCAATATATCAGATGTGCCCAACTTAAAAACTGATTCAGAACACAGAAAGATCTAGTTCCATTTCTGCATGACATGAAATTTGAGGTATACGCATTGCAAAAATCTCCTAGGAAACATTACAGTATGTCCAAATGTATGCACCAAAATGGGCTGTGGCTTGGAAGAAGTGCTCATGAAATCTAGAAGGAATGGCTTGAAGAAAATGAAGGTGAAGGTTGGTGAAGATATGAAGAAAGTATCTACTAGAACTTTAGTGCTGTTATAATTCTGGAAACAGTTATTTCTTGAGTAATAGTTTTAGATTGAGGTAATTAAGTTGATTAGACATGGTTATCTCCTAAAGAAAAGTTTAGGTCACTGAGATAGAAGTTAAGAAAAAAAAAATCACATCTTCTAGTTGATAAACAGTGCATGAAATAACGGAGAAGTGGTGGCGTACAATGGGTTGCCATGGCCTTGTAAGATGCTTTTCTTATATTGGTGCAACTTGCACAGATGACAAACTAATAAAGTACTGGTTAATAAAAGCAAACATCCTTGATCCAAAGTTCAGTAAATGCAGAGATCACCTTTCTTGAAATATCTGCGGAATATTGATATAAGCTGAATTTTGTTGCTGAGAGTTTGTTAGGTATGAATATTCTCTGGAGTCAGATTTTCAAAATGGCACTTAGAATTTGTATAGTAAATGCTGAATGGTTTTTTGTGGTTCAGGGTGGTTGAAGTATCTTTGACAGTAGGTTGTATGTTCTTTTTAATTGGGGAACTATTAATTCTTTTGTATCTGATTTTTTTTATTTGTTTGCTGTATGATCATGTTGAAATCAAACCATGTAATTGCGAACAAGATACTGAGTCATGTGAGGAACATTGCATTCAAACATGAAAACACACTGTACATTGAAGCAGGCAGATA